CTGTGTCTCTTCTTCATGGGTTCATATCCTAGAAAAGTCTGATGTGTCACCGACAGAGGCGCCTTCCTTTAGCTCCATCTCCATGCCTCTCTTCCCCCAGTTTGTCTACCTCCTACAACACTACCTCTGCACCTTCGCACCTGTTGTTCCCTGCCTAGGATGCCCTTCCCTGTCCTCCTCACCCATCTTAGACCCTGTCATTCTTTAAAGCCAGCCCAGACCCCTCTTCATCCACGAGGCCTCTGGTGACTGCAGGTGGGAAGAGTGGTTCACCACCACCCTGTACTGAGTTACTCGGTTGGCACTGCCCACCTGTGGCTGGTGTTCCTGACTTTCTGGGTGTGTGTCCGGCTTCTCGAGCCACCAGCACGTCCATTAAAGGCTGGAGTCCAAGACTGGCCACCCAGCATATTGAAGGGGAGCTGAATATACTGCCCCAAAACATGCCTCTTCCATAGTGATTTTTCTGAGCTGGTTGTTTTTGAGAAACAGCAGACGTAGGAGAAGCTCTGAAAACAGAGTAGGAGGGAAATCTACACTTATAAAAAAAATTCCCACTAAAAAGGATACCCGTACCAGGAAGACCGCTGCTACCAGAGGTAACTTTTTTTTTCTTTCACCTGAGACACTTAGCTACAAAGCAAGGCCACCTTTGTTTCCCATCCATTTTCTCCACTCCCCGTCCCTGCCATGGCCTCCTCCCCACTTAGAAGCCCCAAGTCCCTCCCTCTTTCCTTAGATTAGGATGGTACATAAGTCAATCATCTGGCCGCCTTTTGATTCTCATTTCTTATTGTAACTCCATTCATACATAATTTTTTTTCCTCCTGGTTATCTGTGTTATGTCACTTTAATTCTTAGACCAACCACAGAAACAAGAAGAGAACATTTTTCCTCCCCGACAGCTCACATACCAGTCTCATTCATCCCTGCGGAAACTGGTGCAGGACCCTGGTTCGCTTTAGGCTGTTGCCCAGAAATCACTTAGAAGGCATCCAGTGTTGGGTTAGTTGATTTGCTGCGTGGGCTCTGGTGCAGGCTCTGAATCTGAGTGGGCCGGGGATTTTTCCCTCACTGTGATTCCCTCCCAGTGATGGGGACCCCTCCCTTCTGCTCCCAGGCTGGCCCATTGCACCTTCACCCCCAGGCTCCATCTCCGGCCTCTGTCTGACATTGTGCAAGCCTGCTCCTTCTGAAGCAAGAAGGCCTTTTGACACATATATTAATTTGGGTCTTCAGAATCCTAAAAATTAAAGTGGGCCCTCCACCCCCCACAATATCGCAAAGACTTCGCCTCACCTCTGGGGGAACCAAGAGCCCAGTGACTAAAATAGGACCCACCCTCAGTCAGATGACAGTGGTACCAAAGTGACTCTTCGCCGCCCTTCCTACCACTCCTTGAACAATGCTGTTTTACTCTTCATCACATTTGTTACCTCTAAGATCTGTTTGTGCGACGGTTTACTTCAGGTCTCTGGGGAGTGGGCATAGTTTCTGAGGCCGGTGTTTGAAGAGACCGCGGGGGTTCTGGTCCCCCGTCCCAAGGCCCCTGGCGAAGTCCTTCCTGAGTCCTACGTGAGGCCAGCCTGCCGGGGACCCTCACTGTGGTTTCCCAGGGAAAACCCAGTGGCCTTGTCTCCCAGGGCCTCCCAGCTTACCCGGGGCCTCTGCCCCAGCCTCTAGGTCCTTACTCCTTCAGCAAAAGGAAGCCCTCCCCCAGGAGTCCTTCCCACTGGGACCCCAGTCCCCTGAGCTCGGGGAAGAGGCACAGTGGGAAAGGAAGAGGGAGATAGGAAGGTGTGAGTGAGAAGAGGCCACCCGGCAGGGGGCGGGGCACGTCACTCTCTACAGGTTTTTACTAAAGCCCTTTGGCCAACATTGAGAGTTTAGGTGAAACATTTATAGGTGGCACCAGGTTATTTAAAATGACCCAGTGGACCACTCAGTATATTAAGTAGAATATAATTTGACTGTTGACACAGAGACCTAGGACGGCTTAATCAAGTCAGAGGTGTTTCTCTCCCTCCTAACAGTACCAGTTTAAACGGTCCAGGGCTGGTGTGGCGGCTCCACAGGTCAGGGACGCAGGTTCCAGGAAGGTTTGTCTTGGAGTCCTCCGTCCTGCCGCAAACAACGGGTAAGAGGAAAGGAAATTGTACTCATTGCTCTCATCCCATTGGTCAAAACTGAGTCACATGGCCATGCTCAGCTACAGGGGAGGCTGGGAAATGTAGTCCTTTATTTCGTACAGGCCTGTGCATGGCTAAAAGGGGGTAAAGAGATGGAGACAAGTAGAAGGCTCTACCATATCTATGCGAGCTCACATTTTCTGAACTCGGGCGGCCTTCAAAGCCCCTTTCTAAGCCACTGCCCTAACCAGGCTCCTCCAGACCAGGGACCGTGGAGGATATAAAGTGTCTATCCCTGGATGTGAGCTGGGGCCCTATTCCATAGGATGTGTCCAAGGGACAGGGCAAGCTGTAGGAAGATGACAGGGCAGGAGGATGGCAGGGCAGGGGTCCACATCGTGTTCCCCACCCCCATCCCCATCCCCGGCACCCACGCTTCTCGTCTCGTCCTCTCTATGCCTGGCGATGCCCTGAGCAGAGGTCTGGGGAATGATGACATTTAGGGAGATACTTTCCAACATGCAGATGTGAGTTTGGGGTTTAGAAGGGCAGGGGGGACAGAGTGGAAGCCTCGCAGTGGGGATAAATTGGGCCATCCTGGGGGTTCACCCGTCCTATCATACCCAGGGAACAGCAGCCAGTCTGAGCCATCCCAACAAAGCTGGCGGCCCCGATGGGCGGGGGCCTCACTCCACAGTTAGCTGCTCAGGGCAGGCTGGGTCAGGGCGGATGAGTGCAGACCTCAGCCTGACCCAAAGCAAGAGACTAGGACCATCATGTGCCCACAACAGCAGGGGCTCTGAACCTTGTCCTGTAGACACCTCCCAAGGCTTCCTGGAAAAGACTGAGCCACCTCTAGGGACTGCTACCACCTGCTGTGAGCTCACCATATGCTGGAGCCATTGACCCAACTACCCTCACCTGGGCCCTTTCAGCCAGACCCTGGTCTTCCCAGAGAGAGGTGCCCCCCACACTCATTTACTTTCAATGCTACGTGGAATGGAATGTGTGTACGTGTATATTACCTCCAATCTCCATCTCAGAGACAGTCCCTTAGTATTTGAATTATCCTAGTCAGGAATCCGCTATCAGAACCTGTACTCCAAAGGGGGTCACATTAGCATTTTAAATAGATACAGTTATTAAAATCTACTCTACAGAGCTTGTTCATTAGCAAAAGAATGTGAAATCCTTTTCACAGAAGTGTGAGGTGATGCAGACAAATGGTTGGCTAAAAAGATTCCAGGGAGCTCAGGGTCTGCAGCCTGAGGCCTTTGGAGCCGCCATGCTCTGGGGCAGGGCCCCTGGGACCCTGGTCCCTCGACTCCTTGGATGGACAGGTACAGGCATATGACTGCTTTTATACCTGCTTGCTAGTAAATATTTGGACATTTTGTGGAATGAAACCTGTTTTGTTGTAACATTCCATCTGGTGGCAAGGTTGTTGGGGGGCAGGGGCTGGCGTGGACCATTCCCTGCCTCCAATTGGGGTGCACATTTTACCAGGAAACACTGTCAGTTAGAACATATGCCCAGTGTCAGGTGGTGGAGCCTGGCTGGAAACCAGGTCTGATTCTGGAAGCTGTGCCCCTAACCACTGTCTCCCACTGCCTTCCCACATTGCTTTTGATTCGTCTCTGTGTGTCTCAACCCTGCCAGAGCAGGGCAGGAAGCTGGGTGCCCAGCATGGCCATAGGGGAGGCCATCTTTGCACCCCCTTTTCGGTGGCTGTTTCAGCCCTGAAGTGGAGTTATGTTGGGCTCCCCCTGCTTTGTCTCACAGATGGTGGTGTTGGTCTGACAATGCCTTTCATAAAACCAACTCAGAAACGTGGCCTGTGTGTGTAGGTGGTGGTTCTTTCTAACGGTGGCTGTTTGATTTCATCAACCTACGTGTTCATGTGTCTGTCAAGAGCAGTAATATATTTCTAACCGCAGTTACGCTCTTGAGGTAACATTGCCTTTTCTTGTTCTCCGAATTAATGTTTCTTCAGCAAGCTCTGGAAAGCAGGGACCATGGCTCCCCAGGTCCCCCGCTGTCTGCAAACACTCAGCACAGGGCAGGGCCGCTGCATACTGGGCAAAGCCTTGGTTAGTTGATTACAGGGGACAGAGGAGGCCCCACCAAGATCCCAGGTTCCAGGCCGATGGGGACCATGGCAGAGGGCAGCAACACCAACTGCTGAATCATGGGTACCTTTCTGAGAGCTCCCACAGGACCTACTCACCTACCCACCTCTCTCCCAGCGCACCCCCCCCATGTGGTGAGGGACAAATCTCTGGGACCCCAGTGCCTGGTGTATCATGGGTGCAAGTCACATCCAGGTGAATGAATAGTTAGCCTGGACCCTGGCAAATAGAGATAGGACTCCTCTTTCAGACCCACCTGGACATCCTGCAGTGCAAACAGCCACCCAGGTGGCCTCAAAGTGTGGTCCCCAGACCAGCGGCATCAGCAGCTCTGGCGGTGAGGCTGGCAGCCCGGGTTTTAACAAGCCTACAGGCGATGCTGATACCCTCAATCTAAGCACCACTGGTCCAGACCAATAGTGTTCAAGCATTTTTAAACCTTTAGAGAAACCCTTTAGGGACCCCTAATAGCTGTACGTAGCAGGCAGGAATGGAGATACTGGGAGTGGCACATGGGGTGGGGGGCTCCCCCCTGCTCCGCTCTTGGCCTCCCAGAAACACTCCTTCAAATTTTCTAGTCAAATCATTATACCGAAGGCTCACTTTCCACATTACTCCTCTTGGGGAAACTGGACAGACAACACCCAAAGCAAGAAAAAGGGTGTCACAGGAGGAAGAAGAAACCTAAAATGAAATGAAGAAAGAACAGAAACAGACAAAGCAACAGGTCCACACAAGGGAGGCAAGGACAAGTCAGGAAGCGTGTTTAATTGGTGACACGGACGACATACAGAGGAGCACGAGGAGGCCTGGGCATGCGACGTGGCCCGCCCGCCCCAGGGCCTCGCCCTGCGCCTGCCGCACCACCGGGGCAAGGGCCTGCCCCTTCCCAGAGACACACCAGCAGGTTCAGACAGGACAGCACCCCAAAAAGAGGCTCAGAGGGGGCTGGGGAGGCAAACAGAAAGAAAACAACCACAGACAGGAAGCACTGCCTTTTTTTGTGTTTTTGTTTTTCTGGTAAGAGTTACCCAAATTCCTTTCCAAAGTTGAGGCTCCCTGTGGGGGCACCACGACAGTTCAGACCCCTGCACTAGCCTTTCACCTCTGCGACATGCTTTGATTGTGCTCATGTCTGCTCCCCACGACGCCCCTGTGAGGTGGGCTGAGCAGACTCACTTCCGCCTGAGGGATGGAGAAACTGACGCCCATCGAGCAGAAGTGACTTTCCCAGAGTCCCAGGAAAGCTGGTCTCTGAGTCAGACTAGGAGTGTGTGGCCCTCCCTGGGGCCATGGGCCACTGCAAACATAGGGGAAATGACCATGTACAGCGTGCGGGCTGGGGAGCTGCCTTCTGCACTTGTCCCGGTCCTAGGGAGTAGGCAGAGCCTGAGCCTAGATGCCAAGACAGAGATGGGACCAGCTGTTTATTCAACAAAAGCCTTTTATTCATTCAAAAATCAACCATTGGGTTTATTCTGCAAATATTAAAAAAAAGTGGGGGGCAATGCTTCTCATCACAGTGCTCTTATGCTAATCAACTCGCTCTCCCTGGGGGACACCTAGATGAGAAACATCTGGAAAACACGCTGGCAATAACGTGGGGCTGGAGGCCCAGGGCCCGGATGAGATCAGGGCCCCTCTGTGCTCCCACCTGTAGCCTCCCGCCCTCTGGAATCACCACTTTGGCCTCTTGGTGGGGGGGGGTCCCCCAAATGCCTTTGTTGCTCAGTGCCACCAGGGGGCGCTCCCACATTCCCTTGGATCCCTTAAAAGCTGAAGCTGCGGTGGGAACACGGTAGCCCTCCACCCCCGGCATGGGACTTTCTCCAGGGAGAGGCTGCCTCTCGCGGGGGAACCCAGACACCCCAATCTCTTCCCCCCATACACACAGAGAAAAGAAATGATGTCCCCGAAAATCCAAGTGTGTCTATTGTCTGGGAAGTTGGCTGTCAAACTGAAAAGCATTTCAGGGGAAGAGGAATGCATACGTTTGCATTGATGTTCCTCTCTACACGTTGCCTGGTTAAATACTGCAAACTCGTGACATTCTCCTAAGTACCAGCAACACAGAGTGGGGAGAAACTGCTGTGAGAAGAGGCCAGGGCTGCTACAGCCAGCTGCCCAGGGGCTGGACCCTGCTCCCGGGCCCCGGGAGCGAGGATTGGCAGAGGGGCTAAGAGCCTGGCTTCCAGGTGCTCCGGAGTCCCGAGAGGAGCATCTCACGGAGCTGGGCCTCTGGTGGAAAAGGATGCCGGGAAGTGGGACCCCCAGGCTGCTCTGGGTTCCAATGGCGCCACAGCCAGAGGCCTGGTGAGAGAAGGGGCCAGAGCTGTCTCTGCCTGGCAACCTGGGGTACAAATGGCCAGCGTCCAGCCCGCTGCCAGGAAGAAGGGTGGCCTTTCTGGCAGCTCTGAGCTGTTCAGGGCATGGACCCAAGGTGTGCCTGAGGCATGGGTCCATGGTATCACCTACTAAGGCCAAAAGCTGCAACCATTGCTCCAAACCAAAAGGCCAAACCACCTCCCTAGAAGGCGGAATGATGGTGCTTTGATGCTCCCTAGTTGTCTAGGAATGGATGCGTCACCTGAAAGGCTCCACATGCTGATTCCTGGATGACGCTCAGCCACAGTCCCTTTCCCGTGATGCCTCCAGGACAGGCTGCACAACCGCGTCCTTCCCACTGGACCACAGATGCAACCGAGGCTCAGGCCAGAAAGGCAATCCGACCTGGGAAGGGCCCCACTCTCCTCCCCGCAAACTCCAATCGCCAAGTTCATCTCCTTCCCTAGGGTCCTAGGTCAGAACCAGGTGAAGGATTTGGTGGTGAGTCCTGGACCCCCTGGCCAGTGGCCTAAGCAGGAAGGTGACCGCAGGGGCGTCAAAGAGCCCAGCCTTCAAAGTCACCTGTGAAAATGGAACTCCTGCTCCCATCCCCAAAGGATCTGGGGGCTTACAGTGGAGACGCAGTGCAGCCAAAGGGCCTGTTAATGCAAGAAGGGCGAAGTTTTGGGGTGGGCTGAACATTCTAGCCAACAGGAATAGACCCGCAGCCTCACACTGGCAGAGCCACTCTCATGGGGGCATCCTCTGGCCGAGGGTCTATTGCCTGAGGGCTAATTAGCAGGACAAGCTCTGGCCTCCTGGGAAAGTGCAAAGTGGAGACCAAGGACAATTCAAAGCGGGAACCAAGGCCCAGCTTTTCTGCACTAGGGTGGGGTAAGCAAACGGTGATAGGCTTTGCAAAGAAGCAGCAGGAATTCTAGACTCACGCCTGGCCCTACACAGCCTGGGAGGCTGCTCCTCACCCCAGAAGCTTTCTCTGGATGAGGACTAGTTCCGGGCCAAAAAAGATAGCTCAAAAGTCCAGGAGGGACCAGGAAGTACTACAGGAAGGGACAGATGTGTCATCTGAGCCCACACACCATGACCAGTGGCTGCCATGTCCCTGAAGACTTGTGCCAAGAGACAAAATAGTGATTCAGACGCTCCCCCGTGTCTGCTGGGGTCTGGTACACTTAGCCACAGACCACAGAATCACAAAATGCAGGAAACTCAGACTCCGGATTACACAGTGTCAGCATGGAGGAGGCCTTCCAGATCAAACAGCCAGGCATCCTGGCTCTGCCAACGGGGTAGCTGGGGCCCCGAGAGGGCAGGGGCTGGCCCACAGTCTCAGGGCCACAGCCAGCCTTGGGCTCCTAGCCTCTGTTCCATGGTCGGCTGACTTTCCTGGTGGCAGTTCTGGGGCCACCTTCTATGGGGCAGGCAGAGCAAAAAGCTTCCTGCAAACGCGTGTGGATCACGGTCCCAAGGAGCGGCCGTTACCTGAACCAGGTGGCCAGTACCTTTCTCTCCCCCTCCCTCCCAGCATTCGGCTAAGAGAGTGCAGGGAAGGGGAGGAGGCTGGTGGCTACTGGACAAGGCAGACAGGAAGGCAGGCAAGCAGGTGGGAGAATACTAAGAGTCGATTTTCAAAACCCACCAAGGAGGGAGAAGGGACCTTGACTTCTGCTCGCTTGCTTGCAAAGACGCCTCCCCACCTCCCACCCCCCACCCCTCGGCCAGCTCCCCACTCTTTCCTTATGTACCCAACCTCCTTCCTGGCTCCTAGGCCCAGGACAAGCCTCTATGTTCTCCATGCTGCTACAACTACCAAAGCACGAGCTGAGAAACCAAAAGATGTCCCCTTTGCGTCCTCAGGAGAGATGTTATGGACCCAGAGGAGGACACAGGACAAGGGAAGTGTGGACAGGAAACAGAGAAAAGGGATTTAAGAAGGAGACATTTGGGCTGGAAGGAACAGTGCATTAGCCAGTTAAGAAACCCACCTTACCCCTTTCCAAACATCAAGCACAGTAACTGAAAAAAAAAGTTTTTTGGCTTCTTGGCCACTGCCGGCCGCCATCGTCCCAAGCGCATGGGCAGGTGGGTGAGGGCTGCACATGTAAACAGTGGGCCCCACATCCCTGGAAGCTTTGGACACAGAGGCAGCTGCAACAGTTAACGACCAATAAATAAAAGGTATCAGTTATATATGTATAAAAGAAAAACCCTCACTTTCCCCACAATAAGCACAATACTGTTATCACAAAACTCATCATCATTATAATCAATCCCCCGGCCACACAAGTGGTTTGCTGCCTGAGGATGGGGCAACATTTAACCGTAATCAGGCAGCCCCCCCGACACCCAAGCCCACCCGCGATCAGGCCATGACTTCCGTGACCTCTGGCAGAGTTCTCTGAGGTCCCCGAGGCCTTGTCCCCATCTGTCTGTCCAAATCTTCTAAAACAGAAGGTAGTTTTGTGTTTTTTTTTTCTTTTTCAATGTCTGTTTGAAATAAAAAACAAAAGCACACACGCAGGAGAGCAGGAGAGACCCAGGCTGCCTGCAAAGCAGCGGAGTCCTTGGTTTTTGCAGAGGGCTGAAGCCTTTTCCTTTTCGTGGTGTTGTTGTCCAGACAGCAGAGGTTGTTGGCAATTGGAGCCAGTGGCTTCAGGCAGCGGGTGGGTGCAGGGCAGGGGGGAGGAGGGCTGGGCCTCACGTTTGGAGGGCAGCCCGGCTGGGTGTGGATGCGGAGAGAGGCTGGGTAGACACAGGAGGGTGGTGTCGGGGCTGAGGTGGCCTCATGGCACGGGAGGAGGTGAGTAGTTCCCAGGCATCTGGAAGACACAAGGAGGTGAGGCAGGTTCAGAGCTGGCTGCCAGGGACATGCACACAGAGCTGGCGGGAGAGTCAACAAGAGGGCAAGGTGGTGTGACATGTCAGGAAGCCTCAAACCGCACACCCTCCAACCCACCCATTTGGTGCTTTGTATTTATCCTTAAGAAATAAATAGGGGGCGGCCGGGTGGCTCAGTTGGTTAGAGCGTGTGCTCTGAGCAACAGGGTTGCCGGTTCGATTCCCACATGGGCCAATGAGCTGCGCCCTCTGCAACTAGATTGAAGACAACGACTTGAGCTGAGCTGCTGGTGGGCAGCTGGATGGCTCAGTTGGTTAGAGTGCGTGCCCTTAGCAACAAGGTTGCCGGTTCGACTCCCGCATGGGATGATGGACAGTGCCACCAGAAACTAGATTGAAAAGGACGACTGGGGCCGGCCGAGTGGCGCGATGGTTAAGAACTGGCTTGGAACGCCAGAGGGCCCCGGTTCGGATCCCACATATGAGGGCCAGTGACACTGCCCTCAACAGCTAAGATGCTGAACAACAGCTCAACCTGGAGCTGGGCTGCCGTGAGTCACCGGCGACGGCGTAGGCTGCAGCCCCTGTTGCAGTGGGTTGCCATGGGCTACCGTGTGTAGCCAGCAGCCAGCGTGAGCGGCCAGCAGCCGCAGTGAGTGGCCGTCCAGAAGCTGGCGACTGATCTGCCTCACCTGGGAAGAGCGCAATGATGGTGCCAACTTGGGCCAGTGAAGCAACGTCCTCCACAACTAGACTGAAGAACGAAAACGACAGCAACTTGTCTGTTCCCCTTCCCTAATTCCCCAGGACTGTTCCCATCCCCCCAATTCCCCAATAAAAATCTTTAAAAAAGAAAAGGACGACTGGACTTGGAGCCAAGCTGTGCCCTCCACAACTAAGATTGAAGGGCAACAACTTGACTTGGAGCTGATGGGTCCTGGAAAAAACACACTGTTCCCCAATAAAGTTAAAATAAATAAATAAATAAATAAGATGTTTCCTATGGTATCAACTGTAACAGCAAGATTAAAAAGGGAGGGAGCAAACTCAGTGTCCACACTCAGGGGCCTGGTTAGATAAAGGAAGACACAGTCATAAAATGAAACAGTTTGCGACCATGAAAAACGAGGTGTAAATAGCCAAGAAGACGCCAACATCATTAGCCATCAGGAGTACAAATCAAAACCACAATGAGACACCACCCCCACTAGGATGGCTATCACCAAAAAACTGGACAAGAACAAGTTTTGGCAAGGGTGTAGAGAAATTAGAACCCTTGTCCATTTCTGCTGGGAATTTAAACTGGGGCGGCTGCTGTGGAACAGAGTTGAGCAGTTCCTCAAACTTAAACTTAAGAGTTACCATATAACCCAGCAATTCCATCCCTGGGTATCGACCCAAAAGAATTGAAAATAGGGACTCCAACAAACCCACGCGCACCCATGCTCACAGCAGTGCTATTCACAACAGCCACAAAGGAGGAACAACCCGGATGGCCACCAATGGACGATGGATAAACAACATGCGGTCCATCCACACAATGGACTACTCTTCAGCCAAAAAAAAGGGATGACATACCGACACATGCAACAACATGGAAGAACCTTGAGGACATTGTGCTGAGTGAAAAGGGCCAGACACAAGGCCATGTATTATATGATTCCATTTATATCAAATGCACAGAAGAGGCAGATTAGCATTTGCCAGGGGCGTGGGGAGCAGGGTGGGGCGGGGGATGGGGAAAAACTGCTTAATGAGTACGGAGTTTTATTTTGGAGTGATGCAAATATTTTAGAACTAGATCGAGGCAGTGGTTACACAACATTGTGAATGTACGAAATGCCACTGAATTGTTCATTGAAATGGTTACTGTGATGTTCTGTGAATTTCACCTCAGTAAATTTTTAAAAAGCAGCAGCATAGGGACAGTCACGTCTGCGCCACCCACAGAACCATCCTGTAACCTGCTCCACACCCGTGTTAAATCAAATGTCCTGCCCCCACCCTTCAGACAGGTGTCAGTGTTTGACCCAAAGGGGGCCATTTTCCTGCTGTGTGTGACATGACCTGAAAACGTCATCTGGGCCAATCAGAAACTGTGTGGAGGTGGCCCTGCAGGAGTCAGGAGGCCCCGCGGGACCAGGGTCGGGGCAGCCATCATGCTGCAGGTGCAACGGGAGAGAGAGGCCAAAGCCCCCCGAGGGGGGGCCTGTGTCCTCCAGGCTTCCGGGTCCCCGTGCCAACCCCAGGAGGCTTGGCTGAGGTTTTAATCACATTCGTTGCCTTCTGCAGCAATCTGTGAACCCTTGGAATTTGCAGTACTGTATCTATCTGCTGGTTAAAACCACAAACATGATGAAACTCATTGATGCATTTAAATCCAGAAATTCATAATTATTTATACACACACACACACACACACACACACAATTGTATATATATATAAATGTGTACATATATACATATATATACACTTTTTTTCTCAAGCTCCATTAGTCACTTCTAAAGGATGTTAGAAATCCAACTCGTTTTGAAAACTGGTAAATAAAGAGAAAGAATCAAGGATCTACCCTGCCCTTCCTATGAAAAACTAGGACTCAGGGTAACCAAATAGTTGATACAGGGAAGTTTGCCTTTGCAGGAATGATCCCACTAACGATGAAGAAGGCATGGCAGCATTTTGCACCATCTGTGAATGAATGAATGAATGAATGAATGAATTGCAGAGGTGCCCATCATTGGCTGCTGACATCGCCAGACAGCGGGTCACACTGAATGCCCAGCAGGCCTGTAGGTGTAACTGCCCCTTTCCAGGATGTAAACACCGCCACAGGGCACAATCAGCAAACCTGCTGCCATGGAGACTCTACAGGGTGTGTTTCTGGGCAAGGAGCAAGAAAAAAAACAGGAAGGGAAAATTTTATAGATTAAAATAAACTTAACAGACCTATCAACCGAATGCAATATGTAGATTTTATTCAGATTCTGATTCCAATAAACAAAGTGAAAAAAAAAATTGGGAGCTAACAGGAAACTGGAATTTACCAACAGAAGGTTGGACAATATTAAGGAATTAATATTGGTTTTGTAGATCTAATGAACTTTTTAAAGAATTGTTCTTTTAGAAATACATTTTGAAATATTTATGTATGAAATGATATGATGTCTTGAATTTGCTTCAGAATAACCCACTGTGGGGGTGTGTGTGGGAGGGTAGAGATGGTACAAAATTGGCTGTGAATTGGTGACTCTGAAGCTGGGTGATGGGTACACAGTGTTACGGTATGCTCTCTATTATTAAGTGTGAATGTCTCCATAATAAAAAATTTTTTAACCCACCCCCAAATTTTAAACAACCTGAGGACTGGTTAAATTATGGCCCAGTCCTCCTAACGGAATCCTTTGCACTACTAAAAACGGTGGTCTCAAACAACATTTACCGATGTAGAAAATACGATCTCAGTTCCTGAATAATTCAGTGAATTCTATAACAGTAATTTATCTGAGGAATCTGGGAAGGCAAATAAATCACAAAAATGATAGAACGCAAATTGGATATAATTACTACCTAGTAAGCTCTAGAAAACGGCTTAGGAAAAGAGGAGGGCAATTTTGGGGAAGGTGGGTCTTGTCACTCTGAAAAGCTTGTCGCGGAAATAAAGGTACACCTTCTCCGTTGACATGTTGCTGGTAAGGGTAAGATATATGTCTTCACAAATCGTGGTAAAGAAAGCTAACGTGGGCCCAACAAACTGTGAACTTTAAGCCAGCGAGGGTAACACAAGCTAAAAATATCTTTTCTTAATGTTGAGTTTCCACAAGAAAAAACAAATGTTTCCTATAAGTTGATAAAAAAAAACAAAAAAAAAAACTAAAACCAGCCAATAATATATGGTTATGAGCTCATGGTTGCTGAGAAAAAAAAAAAGGAAAAAATATATATATATATACAGACAGAAAACTGTGAGAAAAAACAAATAAGGTGATTCAAAAATAATTCCACACTTTAAGTAAATTATTTACACTGTATGACTTGGAGGGACACATCAAGAACCCATGTTTGTACCACTTTTTTCCATGGCCTGGAGGAAAGAAAGCGGTGTGCCATAGGACAGTTGCCAATGAGACTACTGGTGGTAATTCACAAAAAGGCACTCTGAAAAATTAGACAGTGGACCAGTATGCTTTGTGGGACTCAGAGCTACATACTGAGTGTTTCCAAGATTATAGAAATACTTGTGATCGTTCCTTTACAAATTGATTTGATTATATGTTCCTATGTGACCTAGTTACTGAGGGTTAAGTTTTTGTAGTTGTTCAATTCTTTTTTAATCACTCTGGGCACAAATGTTCTCGGGTTATAGTTGCATTATATATAAAGGTTTCTTAAAAATAAACTTTTTATCGAGGTTTTCTTTTTTAGACATATTTTCTAATGTCCTTTCAATGAAAAAGGATTCATTGTGTAAAATAATAACAGAAGTTTCAAAACAGTGTAGGCCTCCTAAATAAAATATCAGCAAATCAAATCTGATGATACATAAAAAGGATAACGCATCGTGACTAAGTGAAGTTTACTGTAGGAATGCAAGGGTGGCTTTGCATTCAAAAATCAGTGTAATTCAAAACATTATCAACAAAAAGGGGAGAAAAATCACATGAGCATCTTGACAGATGTAGGAAAAAATTGATGAAATTCAACACCATTCATGATTTTTTAAAACAAATAACTCCTAGCAAACTAGAAAAGGAAACTTTCTAAATCTGATAAAATCTACATACAAACACCTATTACAAACATCCTAGCTAATGGTAAATTATTGAAAGCTTTCCCTGAGATCAAAAGTGAAATATTCAAGAATGTTCACCTTCACTACTCTTATGTGACATTGCACTGGAGAGGCCCAGCCCGTGGAAGGAACCAGGAACAAGAAACAAATGGCAGAAGGATACGAAAGGAAGAAATCAAATGTAGACAACCCAAAAGAATCTAAAGCAGACGCTGAGATTTAATAAATGAATTTAGCAGGATCATGAATATACATAATCAATAAACAAAAACCAACAGAATTTCTATAAGCCAGAAATAAATGGAAAATATAAATTTAAAACTACTATTTATAATACCATAAAAAATATCAAATACAGGGGCCGGCCGAGTGGCTCAGTTGGTTAAGAATTAGCTTAAGAGTGCGAGCTCTGAGCAACAGGGCTGCCGGTTCGATTCCCACATGGGCCAGTGACGCTACACCAGAGCTGGGCTGCCATGAGCTGACAACAGGTGGCAAGATGGCTCAGCTGGTGAGAGCACGTGCTCCTAACAACAAGACTGCCTGTTCGATGGTGGGCTATGCCCGCCCGCAACTAAGGCTCAACTCTGGCAGCTTGAGCTGAGCTGCCACCTGGATGGCTCAGTGGATAGAGCATGCGCTCTTAACAACAAGGCTGCCAGTTTGGCCACGAGCTGCCGACAGGCAGCCAGGTGGCAACTGGCGCCCTCCACAACTAAGATTGAAGAACAACAACTTGGCTGGTCCCCCTCCCTAATTCCCCAACACTGTTCCCCTTCCCCAATGCCCCAATTTAAAATATATATATCGAATACATAGAAATAAATCTATCAAAAGATGTGAAAGACCTTTTGGCTGAAAGCAATACAATGTTATAGAGAAAAAAATTATAAGACCTGTACCATTTTCATGGATTGCAACACTCAACATCATAAAGATGCCAATTCTCCCCCAAATTAAACTGTAGATTCAAAATTCATTCCCAATCAAAATCCCAGCATGTGTATGTGTGTAAAAATTTACAAGTTGACTCTAAAATTTATATTAAAATGCAGATAGCTTAAAGTAGTCAAGACAGTCTTGAAAAAGAAGTGATGGGCATCACCTCCAAGATTAGGTTATAAAAAGATTGCGGCCTTCATTTTGGGTTCTCTCTCCCTGTCCTGGAAAGCCCACCCTGAGGAAAGCCACCAGCCATGTTGTCAGGCAGCCCCATGAACAGGCCCACGTGGCAAGGGATCGAAGCTACCAAATCAAATGAGTGAGCATGGAAGTGGGTACCCCCAGCTAAGCCTTCACGTGAAACTGCAGCCCTTGCCAACAGCTGATGATTATCCCAGTTTACCTGAGACTGAGGGGTTTCCTGGGACAGGGGACTTCCAGCACTAAATCTGGGAGTGTCCTGGGCAAACTGGGATGGTTGATCACCCTAGTGACAGTTTGACTGCAGCCTTATGAGAGACCTAGAGCTAAGGCACCCAGCTGAGCTGAGCCCTGATGTTTGTTTTTTTCAGCTGCTGTTTCAAGGTCTCACAGGCTGCAGCAATAGATAACTGATATAGCACTTCTCTAAAGGAGACATTCAAGCGGACGCTGCATATAGGACAGGTGCCCAGCTTCCGAGCTCATTAGAGAAATGCAACTTAAAATGACAACATGGGATCACGACATACCTACCAAAATGGCTAAAATTTAAAAAATAGAGACTATCCAGTGTTGACAAGGACCTGGAGTGACTGGAACTCTCGTGCACCCCTAGTGGGAGTATGAAATGGTCCAAGCGCTTCGGCAGCTTTTTGCTCATTTCTACTAAAGCTGAATGGACACATATCCTATGTCACAGTAATTCTCCTCTTAGGTGAATAACAGCAGAATGCACCATCTGTCCACCAGAAGACATGCACAAGAGTGCTTATGGCTGGACAGGACCTTGGGGTGGGGGTCATTCACTCCTTTCCCTCGCAGCCAACCCAGAGGACAGTAACAGGGAAGAGGCAGAATAGGAATAGGAGAGGACGAGGAAGAGAAAAGGAAGACAGATCTCCACCAGTAGCAGAGGCCTCCGGGGGTATGCTACCATTCTGCACATACAGCAAATCCGGCTGAATAAAAAAAGAAACCACAGAAGTGACCAGTTAGCTTAGTTGGTTAGAGCGTGGTGCTGATAACACCAAGGTTGCTGGTTCGATCCCCGCATGGGCCACTGTGAGCTGTGCCCTCCCTAAAAGAGTCAACTATGCCATTGCAGCATGAAAGCAATGTGTAACCAATGACCATGGCTGTTCCTCAATAAAATTTAAAAAGAAAAAAAAAAAGAACGAAAGAAACCACAGGTTTCTTGACCCAGGGAGCCAGGAGCTCAGGTCTTTGGCCTGCTTTCCCAGGCCCCCGGTGTTGGCTGAGAACTGATGTTTTTTGTTTTGTTTTGTTTTTTAACTGTTTTCAATCCAGGGAAACTTCTATTCAAGCAAACTCTCAGGCTGAATCTGGGTATACCAAAATGACAAAATGACAAATCTGGCTGATTTGAAAGCCTTGCCTCCTAGCTCTCCCCCCAACAGCTATGCCCTCACCGGGCAGACTCCAAGTTGGACAGGTACTTATCTGCCAACCCTAGTGTCCTGTGGCTGGGTTTCCTCCATCCCCCCACCCCAGACCCCAAGTCCCTCTTGACTCACCCCAGCTCTGGGCCTGGACTATACCAGCCCATCGTAGAGGGACAGCGCCTGCACAATGGAGGGGTCTGCCTTGGACCCCTCCTGGAACTCCTGCAGTGTCAGCTTCCCATCAGCGTTCTGTAAGCAGAGAGAGGTGGCTGAAGGTGGAGGGACAACCAGCCTCCTAGGACAGGGGCCTCTGGCCTGGACCCTGGCCCAGGACTGGTCCCAAGAGAGCTTCCACAGTTAGGTCAGGAGGGAGGCAATGCAGCTCACGAGGTGAGAAGAATCGAGCATCAGATGGACCGGGCACTTCCTGGCTGGGTGACCTGGGCATGTGGCCCACCTCTCTGTGACCATTTCCTCATCTGGGGACAGGAGATAATTTGCATGGCTTCCTCAGGGCGCCGGGGTCAGCACTCTATGAGCTCAAGCTGTGTGAAGTGCTTGACAACCTGGAGGCGCCCCATAAATCTGGAGTTATCGTTACCACTGCTGTTAATCTCCTCAATAATGGTTAATCCCAAGGACTAAGAGCCTAATGCATTTCTCTGGGGTCACTTTTGGAAGGGCATCCACATGGCTCCTGGAGCAGTCTACACTGGACCCCGGAGACCTGGGAGGAGGTGGGCGGAGCTCACGCAAAGGGATTTTATTGGGTCTCTTGGGGGAAGGGTGGTCTGGGCCAGATACCTGTGAGGGCCAAAGAAAAAGGTCTTGGGGACCACCCACCCACCTCCCTCACCCAGGGGTAAAGTATGACGAAGGGCCCAACCAGCACAGCAGGCCGTCCTCCTGGCTTGGCCACCATGCGCCCCCATGCGAGGTGCACGTGCTGAGCTGCTAGGATCCTCACAGACGCTCTAAGAAGAGGGGCTGCTCTTATCCCCATTTTACTGATGAGGAAACTGAGGCTCGGACACCCACTTAGTCCCAAGACTGGTGACTGGGGAAGCCAGAATTCACACCCAGTCAGACTCTAGGATGGGATTGGTTTCCCAAAATAAGGAAGGTATGTATCAGGAGACACAAAATAAGGAGTGAACGGCCTTGGCATTAAATTACATCGAACCACCCTGTGGGGAAGTGAGGCCCGGGCTCCACACTCTGTGGACACATCTGGTTTTTGCCTAGAGACCAGCGCAGGCTGAGCCCACATGTCATTACTGCCCCTCTGACATCTCCCTTTTTTAATTAAAGTACAGCCTCAGGCTCAAAGTTTTCAGGGTCAGTGCCTCTATCCAGCTAGAATGTAATACTCAGCCCGATGTCACTGTAATTTGTATTCTTTTATTTAAAACAGTTATTTCAGGTTAAAAAAAAAAGTTTGATATAAAGGATTTCTTAACCTTGGGTCTGTGTAGAATTCAGCAGGTCTGTGAGCTTGCGGCAAAATGGGGTCTTCCTTTTCACTAACCTGTAACTGAAATTGAGCTTTTCCTTCTGATGAACTAGGTGACGATCCCCAACAGAGCCAGCAGTGCCCGTGACCTTGTCAACCGTGGGGACCCCGGGCACTTTCCTAACACATCACAGCTGCCGCAGACATCACATCCGCAGGTCAATGTTTGGAAAACACGCGGTGGTTAGACCCCGTGTTGATCTTCTTTAATGTGCTCATAAAGAGGCTCCCATAATACTATGCCACAGATTCTTTTGAAAAAACATTTTGATAGCTGTATTCCAAAATAATTAGCTTCCTTTGTCATCCTATGGATTTATCTGATGCACTTAAAACCACTATTCTGAGAATAATGCCAGAAGAGTCCATGGCGAAAAATAAGAATTTTAGTTGATAAAAGTGTTGGGCAAATTTACTTAAAACTCTGGATGTCTGATGGGGACGGCTGCCGACTGGACCAATGGACATCTCACCAGGCTGTGCCGCCTGCCTGAGCCAGGCTCATAGGTGGTCAGTGGCACCTATTGGAGGGGTCTCCTCTCCCCGCCTGCTGGGACCCAGGGCCTGGCCCCCACCCCTCACCTCGCTGGTCACGTCCCGGCCTCACCCCAGTCTCACCTTGTCCATCATGGCAAAGATCCGGTCCACCCTCTTCTCGGGGGTGTTCTCCTCCTCGGGGAGCTCCACTGTGTTCCCCTGCCAGGGACAGACAAGATGGGGGCTGGGCTCCTGGCTTTGGGCTCTGGGCCCAAAATTTGTCCCCCAGGCCTGGGATGGCTCCAGATGAGGACCGCCTCTCCCCCCCAGTGCCTCACCATCCGTGCCACTCTGTTCTGGAACATTCCACCCACCCCAGCCCCACTACCACCCCAGCCCCCACCTGCCTCCCAAGATGGAAATGTGCAGAGTGACCCCAGGCAGTGACCCTCACCTAGCCAACTCTCACCCCAGGCAGGAGAGCGGCTGCACAGGGGTGGTTCCTCCCAGCCAGGCCTCCTGCCACCCTCTACCCCACAGGACCCAGGCAGGCCTCTCACCACCATCTGGTAAATGGCGTCCACAATATCCAGCATCTCATTCCTGGTGATGTAGCCATCGTTATCCAAGTCATAGAGCTTGAAGGCCCCTGTAATCAACCAGCCAGGGTGAAGTGAGCCCGGGTCCAGGGCAGGGAGGCACTGCCACTCACCTCCTGCCTCGGTACCTCAATATGCACTCAGAACAGATATGTACACGGGGACAGACAGGGATGGGCGCGCACACACACAGACACACGGATGGACACACCATTTCAACTAGGGTTATGGAAAAAAACAAAAACTAAAAGTAAAAAGGAGAAGGCATTGGCGAGAGCTGAGGCCTCAGAGGATGGCATTGAGGGAGGATTTGGGCCCAGGAGGAATTCGAATACTGCCCGCTCCTGCCCACACTCCAGCCTCTGCCCCTCTTAGCCCACTCCCCTTCCACAGTTACGTTGTATCCCTATGGTTAACTTAGAAAATCTGAGCTCTGACCAGCTGTTTCCATCTTCTCTCCAGCTTCCCTTTCGTGCACGCACCGGCCTGCACGGCCTCCCCTCTCTGTAGCTTTCCCTGTCCCTCCCGCCTCAGGGCCTCGCACATGCCGTTCCCCTGCCCGGAGCCCTCTTCCCGCCTTCCTACTCCGGCCAGCTCTCTCCTGACTCACTACAGGGTCAGCCCCTCTCCTGTCAGCTCACACCTCCCTCTTCCTGTCTCAGTTGCAGTTTCATGGGATTTTAAAAAATGTCCCCGTGCTAGACAGCTATGAGAGCAGGTACCTATCTGATTCCCCCGAGGGCTCCTGACCTCCTGCCAGCACTGACATGTGGCCATTTTGGTCAATATCTATTGGGTGAGCGAGTGAACACGTGAATGAATGAGGTCAGTCACCAAAACTGGGTCCAGCACTGGATATGGTCCTTTAACTCCAGGCTGCACTGCCAGTGGCCCCATGGCCACACCTGCTGGATGTCCCCTTTGCGCCTGCCCCATCTGTCTACCCCACCTGGGTAAGCTGTGTTCCTCCTGCACGGCCGCCTCCAGGAGCCCTCCTCTGACCTGGAAAGGCAGACAGAACGTCCGTGCCACTCTCTCAGCCCTGGACAGATGGCCTGGCCCAGTTCTTTGGCCTCCCTCTGGCCTGGAGACACCCAGCGGCTGCCCGATAGAGCCCAGAGGGCAGGACTTACACCGCAGCTTCTCGTCCAGGGTTCCCCTCGAGGTCACCGACAGCGCCTGGATGAACTCAGAGAACTCAATCCTCCCGTCCTGGCAGGAGAGAGAGGGGTGGGGGGGCCTCCATCAGCGCCGGGCCACCTGGTCAGGCCAAATCTTGGGCAGGTGGTGATGGGCAGCAGCAGGCAGTTACCAGGGCAGACAGACACCCAAGTGGAGGCGGGAGAGGGCAGTGAAGGGATGAGGGATAGGACAAGGAAGGGGACGGGGGAAGGGAGCAGGATTAGAAATGGAACAGGTCGGCCAGGAGAGGCGGGAGAAGGGGTGAGGCTCGGCTCAAGGAAGACTGTGCTCCATCTGATGGCAGAGTCAGGAGGCACCGCCAGCACACACGCACCCTCTGGGCCAGGGCTGCCTAGAAACCCCCTTCGCCCTTCGCCTAGAACCACAGGCTCAGGGGCTCTGAAGAGCGCAGGCTCTAGACTGTTTAACCCTATTTGTTTTGCAAACAAGGAAACGAAGGCCCGGAGAAGGCAGAGCTCTCCCCAGGGCCAGGCAGTGGGACTGTCAGCCTGGGGGCACCTGGGGAGAGAGCCAGGCCATGACAGAACAGAAACAACCGGGGTGCCCAAGAGCAGGGAGTGTGGAGACAAGTCACAGTCAATCCACCATGAACACAAGGGAGCCAGGAAAATGCTGGCGTGGGACAGAGTCTGGAGGACTGTGGACGCCCATATGCCAACTGTCAGCGTGGCCATCGCCAGGGGACACGCGTTACGACACGGATAAGCCTTGATAACATAATGCTCAGTGAAAGAAGCCAGGCCCCAAAGATCCCGTATTGTCCGATTCTCAGAACCTCGTTTCCTCGTCTGCAAAACAGGGCTATTAAAAGGACATGCCCCACAGGTGGTAGTAAGGCCTCACTAAAAGTAACCCACATAGAGGGCTTAGCACGCAGTAAACGTTCAGTAAATGCCAGTTACGATTATAAATCCCGTTATAACATAATTTGCATTTGATGCTTATAAGAAAAAGGGCAAAGCATATATGTGTGCATAAACATGTGTGTAGTGCATGTGTCATGCTTGTGTGTGCATGTGCATTGCATACACACACGTGCATTCGTGTGCACTGTGAGTACATGTGTGTTTGTGTATGTGTGTATCTATGCGTGCATTGTGTGCATGTGCCTGGTATACGTGTGCATGCATTTGCATGTCTGTACATGTGTGCGTGTGAGTGTGCACACGTGTGTGTGTGTTCCTTCTCCAGGAGGGAACATCAGCAGGAAAGAGTGGGTGTGGAGACGCTGCAGGTGCCCGCAGGAGCTGAGCAGGATGCTGCAGGAGGGAGGGACTCTGGGCTGGCGCAGGCCTTGCCAATCTCCAGCTTACCTTGTTTTCATCAAAGACGTTGAAAACGAATGTGGCGAACTTGGTGGGGTCTCCAAATGGGAAGAACTGCTTGTAGATCTTCTGGAAGCCGGCCGCATCCAGCTGCCCGCTGGGGCAGTCCTTGATGAAGCCTTTGTACCTGAGGTGGCAGACCAGGTGACGGAGGGTAAGAGATGCCAACAGTACCCACCGGCCAGGAGCTCCCTGCCCAGCCCCCTGAAGGCTGTGAACCGCTGTCCAAAGAGATAGTGCCACACGGGGGTCATGGGTCCATCCCACGTCTGCCTCTCACTAGCTGTGGGACCTGGGACAGGTGACCGGACCTCTCTGAGCCTCATCGATGCAAGCGGTAAGAGTCGCATGAGAATTAACCCAGACGCTGTGCACAGAGCACCTGGCCACTTGGCTCCAGGCTCCACATCGAGGGGCTAAAACAAAACTCACCCCAACAATGTCCTCAAAGCTGCACTCTCGCACAAAGCACTGTCGCCTCCCCCACCTTCTCCACTGAGCCACCATATGGGGCTGGCAGCTGGCTCCTCCCACATGCCTGCACCCCCAATATGCCTCTGTTCCTGGGAACTGTGTAAACAGACACTGGAGCAGTGCAGTGAACTTGGAGGGGACCCTGGCTCGTTCCAAATGGACTTGGCCACCCTGTATTCCCAGTGTCCAGCACTGGGACCCTCCAGCTACCCGGCTGACGGCAGCGTGGCTTTGCAGCTCAAATCCTGGCTCTGTCATTTCCTAGCTGTGCAACCTCGGACAAGTGGCCTCACCTCTCTGAGTCTCAGTCTCCTCATTTATAAAGAGGGACAGTTATCACTAGTCGGGATCGAGTGAGATGCTACACATAGTGTACTTGGCACAGGATGGAGATAAAGAATGATCAATAGCAGGATCTTTGGTGTTAGGAACTCAAGTGTGTTGTTTTAAACCAATTTACAAGTTGGCTCCTGTGCGTAGCTTAGCATTTCCAACTGCGACGTCCATTCCTCTGAGGACGACCCCCAGCACAAAGGAAGCCAGAGAGAAGGATCAGCTGTTACCAGTGACAGCTGTCACCTCCCTGGGCCACTCTGTGCTGGGAGCTTCGCAGACCTCACTCTACTGGAATAATACCTAACAGCCCTATGAGCTAGGCAGTGCAACGAAGCCCATTCTAAGGATGAGAAAACTGAGGCTCAGAGAGGGAAGTTTTGCAAGTCCCCGCAGCCCGGACAAGAGCTGAGGTGGGGATCGAAGATGAAGAGCCCAGATGCTCAGAGACACTGGATTGCTGAAGACTTTCACGTCACACCTGTCCCACCGTCCTCTGCTGTGAGACCCACACGAAGACTCTCCCCTCTAGTGTGCGAGGAGAGGATTCTGGGAGTACTGTGCTTAAAGTTGCTGGTGGTGCCACGGCTGAAGCCCACGGATAGAGGAAGGTATGGAGAAGCCACAGTTCTCCACCAATTAGAGAACAATCTAGAAGCCTGGGACGGGTGCTGGATGCATGAGGGCCCAAAGGGACACGCAGGGCCCCACAGGAAGGAACCTCAGGGATCCTGCAGCCTAAATGATGGAAATCAGGTACCAAAAAGCCAACAAGACAAGACCCTTGCTAACATGTCAGCTGTTCCTTAGGGACGAGGGGTGCCAGGGTGAGGGAGATGCCGGGAAGAGAGCTGAGAAGGTGGAGCGGGGTTTGGGGCTTCCTTCTTGGGGTCCAGTTGAAATGGTCACACCGCTGTCCTGACAGTGCCCACAGCAAACATGAGGTCATGAGAGAAGCTAGGCCTATGTGCCCCTCCTCACCCTCCCCCCACCCCAGGCACCTCAAGGGGTCAGAGGCCCAGGGAGGCAGGTCCCAGCTCAGTAACCAGAGTCACTGCCTGATGTGACTCTCTGCCTGGACCTCTGTAACAGCCAACTGACAAGAGCCCCATCCAGGCACTGAGCTAAGCCTTTGTGGCTGGTTCCTCATGCAATCGCCACCTTAGCCCTGTGCAGTGGGTTCGGTGATCCCAATTCACACACCAAGGCACCGAGGCACAGGGCAGGTGCCCCTCTCACAGCAGGAACTGGGAAGGGACTGGCCCCCTCCAGGTCGCTGCCCTTAAAGCCTTCTTCCCAGCTGCGTGCCTAGGGCTCAAATCTTCACACCTGGGCCAGGGGAAGAAGGGTTTTGGAGACAGACCTGGTCCATGACCCCAGGACCCCAGACCAGAATGATTCGCTGGGCAGGAGGACGGGCCATGCCTGGCACCAGGGTTTCATGAATCCCTGTGGGGGCCACACTCCACGATCACCATATGACTCTGGATACCAGGATAAGGGCCATTACCTCCTCTGTGCTCCCCAGAGCTCATTTCTCCGCAATGAATGTGTTATTGAGTGATTCTAAAAGATTAAAGAGGAAACAAAAGCGCCCAAAGGCCTCTCCTGGACGGTCCCTGTGGGTGGCTCCCCGGGGCCATCTCTTGGGAGGGGAAGTCGTGCACTCAGCATCAGCGGGAGCCGCCAGCTCTGTAAGCAGCTGCTGCGGGCTAGCAGTGGGGGCCCTGCAGCACTCGTGGGGGCGGGCAGGTTCAAGGAGGCAGCCCCGGGGGGGGGGGGAGCTTTTGGGGGGAGGCCTGTCTGGTTACCCCTGCAGTGGCTGCCACCGTCACTGTGGGAACCCAGTGCCATTAGCAGGGGCTCCAGGAAGCCCACCCCCACTGAGCAATGCCCATTAGGGGTTGGCCCACCCTCCTCTTGACAACCGCCCCCCGTATTTCACAACCAGCCACACTTTCTAGAACGTGCCATGCCATGTCTAACCTCCAGACCTTGTACCGCAGGTGCCTCTGCCTGCAAAACACATCTCCTCTTTATGGGGCTCGTCCACTCATCCTCCGTGTCCCAGCTTAGACGTCGCTTCCTCCAGGAGGCCGTCCCAGGCCGCCCAGAGCGCATGTGGCCCCTCCACTCCCACTCCCCTGCGCGTCCCCAGCACAGCACGGACCACGCCGTATGAGTTTGCCTCTAGGCTGAGTCCTCCACCTAAACGTGAGCTCCCTGACACCGTGGCGCCCCAGTGTCTGGCGTCGGGTCTGGCATATAACAGAGGCTAATGTTTGTCCAGTGAGATGAATGAATGAATGAATGAATGAGTGAATGAATGAAGAGACAAACTTCCAGGCAGGGACAGAGAGTAAGGTGTGCTACGTCTTCTTCCTGAGCCCGGGGACCCTGGCCAGAACGGAGAGCTCCCTGCAGATGGGTAGAGAACCACTGGTGGGCTCTCCCTCTCCATGGACTGATGGGGAACTGGGGTCTCAGAGAGGGAAAGAGACTGGCCCAAGGCCACACAGCAAGCTAGCTGCAGAAACAGGCTCAGACGCAGGGCTCCGGCCTCCCAGGCTCCCCCCTCCTTGCCGGCCCTCCAGGAGCTAGGCTGGCTGCACTGCCCTGGCGTTGTCTCCCACTGTTCATCATCAGAAGGTGGGGGGCACCCTGCCTTGCTGAAGCAGAGGGGGGAGGTCTAAGCCGTCCCAGACACCCCAGTGCCTCTGAGCCCCTAATTTGCCCTGCAAGCCATCACAGCTCCTCCGAGGCCAGGATTTCATGTCTCCAGCAGTTCGATGATGAAGTGGAGCCCATCCCCCACTGGCTGGCTGAGTCAGGACACCCCACGCCAGGCACACACCCTATTTCGGGCACCTGAGAGAACTACTGCCTCATCATGAAGTTCACGCCCAGAAATTTCTCCCCCAGGAGATGTGACTCCATCCCCACCCCGGCCTGGCCTCAGGTTCCAACAGGCCCGGACCTCCTCCCGCTCCTCCCGCCGGCCCCTCCCTC